TCTTGCTTGGTATTGTGTTTTTCATAAAAGTGACCTACTTTAAGTATTGCTTATCCAAATCCTCTGATATTTCAACACTATTTTCTGTGCCACTTTGTAAACTAGAGACAGTTTACTGGTGGTTGTGAAATGCTGTGGAACACGCTGAAAGTGTTCAGTCAGGACCGTAGAGTGTGTCATATAAAACCTGTCCCATTCCATGGACCTGAAATCTTCCTTCCAAATCACCATGAAATTTGGCACAAAAAGTCCTGTTACAGAACACTTTTTCAATGCACTTCTCTCTGTTTTTAGAATCAAAAAAGTGGCATTCTGTGAAACACAAAACTTCTTAACTGAGTGAAAACTGTTTAAAGAAAGTTTAGTGAGAGTTCTGCCACTTTTTCTCAAGGTTTATTGCTGCAGGTTTGGGTTTGCTCCATTCAAATCCCCCTTGAATTTGCTTTGATGTGATCAGGTGGGTTTGGGTCAGTGCCCTGCTGCTGTGTGCCCTCAGTCCTCTTAATCCAGAATGTGCTGGCTTTGTTTTGTCCAGCCCCCAAAAATTAATTAATTGTTTAGCCTTTAGTTGGAATGTTGCATTTCCAGTCTCCCAGGGAAATGTTGTTATAAATATAATAATGGCATAATTATTGCAGTGAACCATTGCACAGCAGCAGATGTGGGGCACACACCTACAGCTCTTATTGGGCTTTTCAATAGCACAATCCAGAGAAACACATCAGTGATAACCCACAGCTGCACAAAAGCATAAACCAGTTGTGTTTCTGAAATACTTTCCATGGTTCTGTAATATTGAGAACCATTTCTTTGAGAGATTATTATTTTTTAATTATTTTTGAACTGAAACAGTTGGAGACATTCCTCTAGTCATCATATCTGTTAGGAGGCATTTTACACTCTGTTCTGTGTCCTCACTGCAGACTGGCTGCATGGTTCTGTGTTTTGCAATATGTGCTCTGGCTTACTCACCATACTTGTGGTTTTATAAATCAGTTAGTTAACAGAAACAGTCTTGATTGTCTTCTTTTGGTTGGGTTGGTTTTTGTGTTTTGAGCTGGTTGGTTGTTTTTCCCAGGAGCTTTCTATATGATCTTAGATAGGTCCCTTGAGATCCTATTCGGATTCATAACTAAAGTGTTAAATTCCCATGAGTTGGTGCCTCTATGCGTCTGATTTTTACCCTCTGGTGATGTAATTTATCAGTCTTTAAATGGGAATAGCAGCAATGTTAAACCTCAGGAGGATGTCATGAAGGTGAACACATTCCTGACCCAAAGGGACTTGGATCAGATGCTGGAATTGTTTGAGCAGACAGGTCTGGACTGAATGGGGCCATAATTTGTGTTCCTCACTAAAGGGGGCAGAATGAAATGCCTTAAAAACAAGGAGCCAGAGCTGTGTTTGGAAATGCTGAGGCTTCAGATGCCAAGTTTGGCAGCGGAAATGTTGCTCCTGGGACAGCCAGGTGCCACAGCCACAGTCCTTCCCAGTTACCGAGTGCCAGGGCGGGCACAGGGATGGAAAGAGTTCTTAGATAATTGTGCTTTTTTTTTTTTTAAAGCTGTAGAAGTGAGTCATCAGTTCTATTTGCAAGTCTGGGGTGCTGAGCAGAGTGTGTCCCTCAGGAATGGCTCACTGCTCTGTGGTTCTTGGCACTGTCCCTGCCAGAGCTATTCCCAGGGATGTGCATGTGCACAGGGGGTGTTATCTGAGGCTCTGTGCCCTGGCACAGTTCAAACAAGAATAGGCAATGTGCTAATATTGTCAGGAATAGTCTTGCTTTGGCAGGAATATAGATTACACTGCCCGATAAGTCTTCTTTAAAAAAAGAAATCTGTTCTTTGAGTCAGTGTTACAGTACAAGAAATCCTACTTTAAAAAAAGAGAAAGCCAACACTGATTTTCTAATTTCGTTTTTGATAGTAAAGATAAAGGTGATCCCAAAGCAATCCTTTCTCTAACCCACATGGGGTAAAAAATGAGGAAATATAAAGAGATATCTGCTGATTTATTTTCTTCAGTTCTTTGTTATGTGTAGGAATAGGGTGTGTTACTCTGAATAATTCAAGCTCCAGAGGCATTTATCTTAGAGCAGCACAGTCCATTGGAGCAGCCAGCACATGTACATGTCAGGCTTTAGCAGTTCCATGGACTCAATAAGTGGTAATGTGGGACCAAGCCAGATCCTGATGTTGATTCCCTCATTCTGTGCATTATGTGAGGGGTAGGGAGAGACCCCAGTACCGTGGAGAAAGGCAGGAGCAGAGAAGGTGCCACCCACGGTGGCATTGTTGGGAGGAAGCTGGAGGGGGAGAATGGGATAACAAGAAGACCAACACAAGAACCAAGGGGGTTGTTTGGGTTGATCTGATCTGACCTTCAGAGGTTGGAACGAGTGACTGAAGTGATGGTTAACTGTAAAAGGCTGAGTTTGTATCAAGCCTCCCCTCCAAAGCTGGACTACTGGGGACTTCAGATTGCCTTAAAACTGGCTTGTTGGAGCTGAGGGGACTGTGTGGAGACAGGGCATGTTCCCGAGCCTTCAGAGGTCTGTGCTGAATGAGGGGTGAGCAATTCTCCTCTCCCAGCACATCTGCTCTGTGCCTGAGTCACTGAGCAGCAGGAGACTTGTTGGAGCCTGCTGCCCTCCTGCTCTCTGCCTCCTACCCTGTCCAAGGCTCTGGGCTGCCTTTCAGCTCTGAGGTGTCAGCCTTGGGTTCCCCAGCTCTGCAGGACTGTTTTCCTTATGGGAAGGAAAGGACAGTGGCATAAATGTAAAATTCACCCCAGCACTTTAAATGAAATCTTCACCCCGGCTTTCAAGAATCTAGAGGTGAGACAGCAGATTAGCTTAGAGTTCCAGGGAAGATAAAAGCAGCAAGATTGTGGTGATATTTTTATCTTCCAGGAGTTTTGAAATTACTCATAAATGGGATTCATCTTTTATAACCTTTAAACACAGAGAGAATGAATTTGGTAAATAATCTGAAAACCCCCCATATAAAAGTAGTTTATCAGCAAAATTACCATGGGGTTTATTTTTGCTGAGAAAGTAGATTTGTTTAATAACCTGCCAAAGTTTTATGCAAATAGTACAACCTGGAGCACAAGTGTTTCTTATTGGAAGGTGTTTGCCTTGGAAGCCTGATGTTCATTAACTGCTGGTGCTGAGCTGATTGATTAGAACTGGGAGGGGACTTTGGGTGATGGGCTGTTGTTGAAATGTTTCTTTTTCACTTGTGAGATAACTCCAGATCAGCTGAGGATTTCTTACAAAGCAAATGTCAGGGGTGCCTGTTTCAGGAAAAGCACCAAGGAACAGGGTATTTCCGGGAGAGCAGGACATGGATACATGTGCTTTGATTAGCTCATGTGCTGTCTGTGAGCTGTCTTCTCTGGGCAGCACCGAGTGAGCCCTGCAGCAGTGAGGGAGTAAAGGCAAACTGGAGTTAGGGATGTTCACCAGCCTGAGCTCCTCAAGGGGAAGGTGCTTCCCAGCACTGCAGCAGCAGGAGAGAGGAGCAAACAACTCCTGCCCTGTACCCACCTGGAACCGTGACAGGAACCTTTGAATGTTTTGAAGTGAACAAGGGGAAAAGTTCCCCTGTGAAATGGCTTCATTCTGTTGGTGATACGTTATCCCTTTAATTAAAGAGCTGGCAATTAATTGGAGTGATGGATGGTTTTTACTAGAAGCCCATGACTAATTTTTTCTTGCCATCCTTGCTCTCTTATTGTTCTGTCTCCCCTCCTCCCCAGGTGCTGCTGTGCCAGCCATGGCCTCCAGGCACTGGTACAGACCAGTGTTCACTCTTGCTTGGCTTTTACCTGTTCCAGAGAAAGCAATTGTTTGCAGATATTTTCCACCTTGCCTTTCAGAAATTTTCCATTTCCTCAGAGTTTTGCAATTTTTTTTGTTGTTTTAAAAGAGCCTGGGATTTTTTATGTAAACTTAAAAGAAACTACCCAACTCCAAACTCTTCAAAACACCTCAGCACCACAAAACCCCCCACTGTGTCTCACAGAGTGTTTGCTTCATTTAGTACCACATTTCTTACTTCATTAAAATAACTGCCAGGTTCAAAAAGCCCTCCCTGCAGTCATGTCTGTGCTGTAGAGTAACCTGCTAGCAAACTCAAGGGAATTTGAAATGAATTACAACAGGCAACATTCAAAATGGATGTGACTGAAGATATTTCTATTAAAATCAAAGCAACAGCTACAAAGGACTCAGTTTACCTCTTCTCTCTCTCTCTGTTACCGAGAGCTCAAACCTTTCTGTGATGTTACAACACTGATGTGGACAATTCTTTACATTTTTTCCACTTAGGAAGCTTTAGTCTTTTTATAGGAAATTTGTTTCCATGGCTGAACTCAGGCATGGATGAGTGGGGAACAATGCATTGTTTGTTAAAACAAATTTTTTTTAAGGGAGTGGGCTTAAAAGGAAGGAAATGTGGTTTAGATTTAAGTTTCTTTTGAAATTTCTTCCTCTTCTTTTACATCATCCCCCCACCCCCCCAAAAAAAGCGAAACAAAAATCCAAACAACTGGAAGTCTCCAAATGTACATATCTTCAAAATATTTGGTATAATCTGGAAAGCAAGGGAAAAATTGTCAGTTTAAAAATTACTGTCTTGGTTATCCTTGCCTTCCCTCCCTGGGTTGTTCTCCCTGGAGAACACGCAGGCTTTGTCTCAGCTGTCCCAGCCCATGTGTTGGGCAGGGTTTGTCTGGCCTGTGTCATGGTGTGTATGGAAAGGAACTCAAGCTTCAGTTTACTCACGTGCTCAAACCTTTTGCTGAACGAGGGCCTTGGTTCTCTGATCCCTGGGTTGTTCATCCATGGGGGTGTTCCGGAAGGAAGAGCCCCAGGAGGGTGAGTGGGGGTGAAGGTTCCAGGGGGAGGAAGCTTAAGGCAGGCATTCAGTTTAATTTTTAATTAGCTCTCTCCAGAGGGCAGTTGGCTGGAAATGTCTCTCTCTCCCTCTCCCCAGAGGTCCTGTGGCAGAGCTGCTGCATGAGCAGTGTCCCCAGCGAGGGAGTGCCTGATGCTGGCTGTCATGGCTGATCCTGCCCTGGAAGAACATGTGTCCCAGGTGCCTGAGCTGTGTTCCGAGTGTGGCCAGTCCCACCTGGTGCTGGACAATCACCTCTACAACTTCCAGGACGAGGTGGACGATGAGCTCATCTGCCACATCTGCCTGCAGCCCCTGCTGCAGCCCATGGACACCCCCTGCGGGCACACCTACTGCTTCAGGTGCCTCGAGAACTTCATGCAGGAGTACAGCTTCTGCCCCATGGACAGGAAGAAGCTCTCCTTCCAGCAGTGCCACAAGTCCAGCCTGCTGGTCCGGAACCTGCTGGATAAGCTGATTGTGCTGTGTCCCTTCAAGGCCGAGTGCCAGCAGACCATGCAGCGCTGTGAGCTGGAGGCTCATCTGCACAACAGGTGCTGTCCCCTTCTGTCCTTGTGTCACACCAGGGCTGTCGTGCTGCTCGGCAGACACATCCACTCTCAGAGCAGCTCCTAAACTGGGGCAAGGTGGGACACCAGAGATGACAGAGGGTGAGGCTGCAGAGGTGGGTGTGTGCAGACAGGGTAATTGTGTGTGTGTGTGTGTGTGTGTGTGTGTGTGTTGCGAGCCCAGCTCACACGTGCTCCTGAGGCCAAGAGTGATCTGCTCACCTGCAGCTCCTCTGCAGACACTAAACCTACCAAAAATATGTTTGTATATCCTGATCTGGGGCACTCAACTCTGAAACGATTATAAACGTGCTTATTCTTGTTTCACTTGCACAGAGAAGATAGACAGGCACAGAGTCAGCCCTCTGAAAGCCAGGGACCCTGCAGTGTTGCCAGTTTAATTGGTCCAATTAAGATGTGCAATACATAAGTGTTTGATTCAAATAATGCAAGTCCCTCCAAGCTGCACATTACACAGTGTCTGAATCACCTACTTATAATTCCATTATCTTCTCATTCTTTTTCCAAGAAAGAGAAGAAAATGAAAATTAGTTTTCATTTCTGTTTCTGTCCTTCTTGTGTAGAGGAAGGGAGACTTTTTGTGTTTCAGTGCTTCCACTGCTGGTTGAGCTGTTGGCAGGCAGAATGATGTTGCTTTAAAAGAAGTGCAGGTGACAAAGCTGTTGCTGTGGCACTTGAACCCTTGTTCTTGCCTGGTTAATGATTGCAGGACAGGGAGCTAAGTACAAACCCTGTGCAGGTGGAAGCAGCCCTTCCTTGGCACCGTGTGTTCTGTCAGTGGGCAGTGAGAAATTCCAGGGGCTGTTTCCTTCAGCTGTGTTGGAGCTTTTAGTGGCAGTGGCATATTTAAAAAATCAGCTGAGCAACGTGCAGGGAACAGTTACACTTGGGATACCTCTGCAGTCCCTGGTGGTTCTTGTTCATCTTTCGTCCCCATGAGCTGAGAGCTTATGTTAGAGCAGGGGAAGTGCTGGAAGGTGCTTGTGTACCCCTTTCCCTGGAGCAGTGGAAGTTTACAATCTCCTTTTTCTCGAAGCAGCCCTTTGTCCTGGTTGGTTGTAACCAGGCCGAGTGCTCAGACTGCAGGGCTGGGGCCATGGCTCACACCAGGGCTGGGCCTTCCTCTGCTCTGCAAATCTGCCCTGCTATCAGTAAACTCCTGTCACTCCTTAATCCCTCTGGCACAAGAGTGAGGAGAGAGGGAGGCACCCTCAAATGTTTAGAGAGCTGTCTGGAAACTGTATCATTCTCTTATACACTTCATAGTTGTTTGTATCTCCCTTGAGGGGTGTATTCTAGGAAGTGAAACTGTTTCACCTGGGCTGTGGCTTTAGTCACACTGAAAAATGGGGAGGAAAGAAACGGGTTAAAAACTCTCCCTGGGATTTGGGTGTTCCTATTTTTCAGTTTTAAGTGAGATTAACTGATAGCAGAAGATTTAAGAAAATAAGAAGCATCTAAAAACTTATTTTCTCAGGGGATTTCTCTGCCATTTGCAAAATGAATTTTTTTCTTGCCATCTAAAGAGGGCACAAGTGGATCAATCAGCTCCTGTCATTAAATTTCAGGATCATCTTACTGCTTGGAGAATAAATGAGTAGGAATAAACCAGAGGAAGTAATACTGGGGTGAGACTTGTTTAGCCAGAATGTAAATAGTCAAGTTTAATTTGAAAAGTGAGTGGTAAACACCCAATACTATCCATGTCTCTGAAAGTGATGATTTTGCATTCACCACCCTCCTCACCCATCACCTTTTGTTTAAGGACTCACGATAAAAGAGCTTGTTCTTCCTCATCCCTTGTGCTGAGAGAGGCTGGTTGTGGTGTATTTATTTGAGCACAGGGAACATTTTGGATGGAGAATTACTTCTGTGTGGGGAGCACCCAGTGGGATTAGAAACTCTAAATTGCTCTCATTGAGGCAGAGGCATCAACTGCATGGACTGGAGGAGGCTGGGGCTGGAGTGTGTCTGAGGGGCAGGGCTCATTCCACAAAACAAAATGCACAAGCCTCCCTTGCTGCTCTTGTGTGCTAAAAACAAAGCCTAATTCAAGGCCCAGCTTGAAACTTGAGCCACCTTCTTTGCATAAAGATACAGTTCATAGTCGTCTCTAAAACGTCAGAGCTGAGTATTTGCTTATATTTTAAGTATTGTTCTCTTCGTGGAGTGTTTGCCAGGTAAATATTTAGCAAGGGAGACTCTCATTCCTCTTATGTTCTCCTTCTTAAAATAATTTGCTTAATAATTTTGAAAGCAGTGAAACTGCAAGCCTGCTCTTAAGCTGATATTAGTACAGGTGGAAGCTGAAGGTCAAATGAGAATAAGTTTTAGCATCTGTGCTACCAGCATTGCAGCTGGTGAGATCTGGAACATACATTTGTCAGCCAGAGCTTGCATGTGCCAGGTCATCCAGGCAGGGACAGCACTGACAGACCCTGACAATCTCTCTCCAGGTGTCCCGGGTTCAAGAAATACAAATCTGAACTACAGAGGAAAAAGAATCCCATTTCCAAAGGGAAGGAAGATCCTCCCACCAAGGGGGAGACAAACACACCCAAGGATGCAGAGGTACCAGGTGGAGGCTCATCACTTGTGGCAGAAAGCTCTGGAGCTGCTGTGGTGTCACTGGGGACTGCTGAGCCTGGGCTGGTTAATCCAGCTTTTGAGGAGACTGAAGAAGGTGAGAGTTTGATACCCAAGTGTAATTATGTATTTATCTTTTATAATAGAAAAATGAGGTAATTATCTCAGACAGTTCAGTTTCTAAAGTGTCCCCAACACTCTCAGACATCCTCAATGCTATTCAGCCATTAGCAGCCATCAGAGTAATCTCTTTGCTCAGCTTGTCCTTGAGCAGAAGGGAGATGTGTTCATGTGCATCAGGGGTGGCAGGATCTGCTCGCAAGCACAGAACTGAGCAAAACCATTTGGAGAGCCTCTGTTAGACAGCAGCGAGTATTTGCAGAATTCTTTGCAGAAACAAAGGCAGTCCCTGTCCATGTGAACGTGGAGCCAAATAATTAGTAACTAGGAACTGTTCCAGGTTCTTTTTAATCTCGTTAGGAAAATTAAATATACAGTTTCCTGTATATTCCTGGTCAGTCCCTCCCTAATGGTGTGCAGTGAGTGTGTTTTTACAGCATAAGTTAGGGTTTGGATTAATAGTCAGTTCTGAAAGCCTTGCAGATAAAATAACCATCTCCAGTATAGCCCCGCTTGTCTCAAGCCCTGTTAGGAGGCAGCAGCATGGAAATCCCTGTGCCTCTTTCAAAGTTACTCTCAGCTTCCAAGTGAGCTGGAGCTGACAACTGCTGTGCCTGGGACAGAGGTAGCACACAGGTCACTTCACTTCTCTCTTGGCTTCTCCTCAAGTGCACTTGGAGCAGGTTTGGTGACAAGTGCCCTTCACCCTGCCAAGCAGCGCTCTGGGCTGTGTCCGTGCTGGGCTGCCTGAACGGCCCAGTGCTGGGAGATTCAATAGGACCTGCTAACAACTACTCTCATCTTCAAAGTGAGGCATTGCTTCATCCTCAGGATGCTGGGAAATAGCCAAACATGACTCCTGTTTTACAGGGGGACTGGGAAAAGAGGAGCAGAGGAAATTAGAGGAAGGAAGTTGCGGTGAGGTGCCTATGGTAAAGTCACTGCAGCAGCAGAGCAGTAATTACTGGGTAGTCCCCTTCCCTAATGGGCATCATGGAAATTGGAATTTGCTATGTGTGTGCTTCTAGCAGGACAGCTGTCGCAGGAGGAAAATACACCTCTAAAGAGTAGCCAAAACATACTGAATGCCCTTTAATAGAACTCAAGCCATAATAATAAAGAGTTTGAATTCAGCATAAGCTAGGAGAAAATGGGAAGCATTCTGGAGGAACTGTAAAGAAACAGAGGGTTTTTAAGCCTTTCATCTGACCTTTTGTCTCCTGATAGCTGCTTTCCCTCCAGGCTTTGAACACAGCCTGCCAGGGGTATGAATCTTGTGGTGCTACAAGAAGGAAAATTCTATGAATGTGTTGTTTTTTCTCTTCACTTTCCTCAAGCAGACCTCCCTCACAGAACGAGTCTTGTGGCTGAAACCACCACCATTGAAATCCACCGAGAAGACCTGGAGGAGGAGCTGGGGATAAGGATTGTGGGGGGTAAAGACACCCCACTGGGGAACATTGTTGTTCAGGAAGTGCTGCGGGACTCTGTGATTGCTGCAGATGGGAGAATAGCACCTGGGGACCATATTCTGGAGGTAGGAAAAACCCCACTGGTAGTGCCATTGCTACTCCTGACTTGACATGAGGGCTGGGGGAGGAGAGCTGCCAGGAAAAACTGGGAAATTTCCACAGCTGAGGGTTTTAAAGCACTGATCAGACCTGTGTGTCAGCAGCATTGTGTATCTGCTGGGGCTGAGGAGCAGACTTTGTGGCTCCTTACAGGCACACTCATATTTCCCTTGCATATTTGATGGTCTAAATTTAGACCATTTTGGATAAAGTGGAAGATTTCTATCTGGTAATTTTCACGCAGTAGCTCCGTTTCTCTCCAAAGGGCGACGCTCTAGTCAGGAAGTCTCATAATTGCTTGTTTTCCCACGTTGCTTAAGCTGCATGTTCTCCACGGGCAGGTCCAAAGTGACCTTATGAGTGAAGTGAGCATTAGACATGTGATGTGAGCAATGCAGAGCACCAGCCCACAGTCAGGGGAGTTCCCAGGTTAGTCACCTGTGTGGCAGTGGGGGACCAAGGGGACACCAGCTTTGTGCAGCAGGGAGGGGACACTTCCAGCCCTGGCTGCCCAGGCATTTGACAGGCCACGAGGACCTCACTGTCCTGTGGGATCCTTCCTGATGCCCACACACGGTGGGACTCCTGGGGATGGTCCTGTGCAGGGCCAGGAGTTGGACTGGATAATCCTCGTGGGTCCCTTCCAGCTCAGGATATTCCATGACTGTGGTTCCATGAAGGAGTGGCAGCCCCACATGCACAAGTGGCTGATCCCATCTCTGACCTGGTTCCTTAGGGAGACCACTGGAGTAACTTCTCTGTTATCCAGTGGGATTGTACATGTCTCAGTCTCGGCTAGGTGTTAATAGGCAGGTCCCCACACTTAGTCCCAAAAGACTTCACAGAGTCTTACGTGACAACTGACAAAGTGAGAACTCTCAGGGTTACCTTGGTAACAACGTCATTAGCCAGGTGATTCCAGAAGCTTGTGGACTGTGGACCACTCCTCAGCTTAAAAGGGAGGATAGGCAGCCTTCAATTTGAGCCTTTTCCAAGTCTGTACTGAAGGCTGGAAGTTAAGGGAAAGTTGCCAAGGGATGGAAGGAATGACTGAACACTTTGCAGTGTTAGGTTTGTTGGTATGTGAGGTGTCCTATCTCTCCCTGCCCTCAGTTAATCACCAGCAATTACTGTCTAACTTCATCTGCAGCTTTCTTCATTCTTTTTGAGAAAACTGCTCTCTGATGTGCCTCAGAAGCAGCTGCTGCAGTTAGAGCCTTGAACAGGGAGTCTGACATCCTGCTCCAGCTGGGTGATGTCCCACCCTGTGCACAGAGCCCAGATTCCACGGATCCTGATTAGAGCCTGTGCTGTGTTTGTCTCTCAGGTGAATGGTGTCAACATCAGCAGTGTGACTCACTGTCAGGCTGTCTCCTTCCTGCGCCACCCAGGCCCTGTTCTCCACCTCATGGTCCTGCAGGAAAAGGGCTTTTCCAACAAGACTGCACAGCAGGATTCCAGTTCTGCAAACCGGGAAGTGATCCACGTCACCTTGATCAAGAGAGACCGCTCCGAACCCTTGGGAATCAAACTGATCAGGAAGACTGACGAGGCTGGGATTTTTATTCTGGATCTCTTAGAGGGAGGTTTGGCAGCCAAAAATGGGAGGCTGAGTCGGAATGACAGAGTGCTGTCAATAAATGGGCAGGATCTGAGGCAAGGGACACCTGAGGCCGCAGCACAGATCATCCAGGTGAGCTCAGGTGTAAGATGTGGATGGGAATGCTCTGCAGCTCTTTGGCTGATGGCAGGGCTCCTGTTCTGACCCAAGGGCTGGCAGAACACACAGGAGCAACCTGCATTCCTTCAAATATCTCTTTGGGAAAGTGACTTCCCTGCGGATGTGTGGGATCACCACTTCCACATGAAGACAAACATGAAGAGTGTGTATCACTGTGAGTCACTCTGACAGCTCTGGGGCCAGGCAGTGGCTCATGGCTCAGTGGTTCATCCGAGGTGATTGGATCTCCTTGGTGCTGTTTGCAGCCTTTCCTGCAGAGGGAATGTTGTCTGCACTGTGTGGATTCATAGGGCAGGGATCAGGGCGGCCCTTTGTGATTCAAACAGAGGGAAGGTGCTTGTTGGGAGCTGTGATGGGCTGGCAGCACAGAACAAAACCCTTCGGGCTGATTTGAAGCCCTTTCTCCCCATTTTCCCTGTATTTGGGAAGAGTCTAGAAAACAACGTGGGGCCCCTCAGACCGAAAACATTCCAAGATGCTAAATGGATAGAGGAGGGGTGGTCTTCCCCTGTACAATGAGGAATTGCTGCTGTTGCAGCATGCCAAATGTTTTGGGGAAAGCATGGGCAAGGAATTTTGGTGAAAGGATTAAGGGTTGCTCGTGTGCAGCAGATATCACATAGATCAGTTTAAGTTCTTTATCTCCTAGGCAAGTACCTCCAGTTTGAGGTTTTATCTGAGGATCCTGACACAATACATCTCATGACACTGTTTATATCCCAAAAGGATGTGAGGTCAGTGCTGAGGGAGAACCAGTTCTCTTCCTGGCAATCAGAGGAGCACAGTGCATGGATCCCTTTTCATGTTAAATATGTGATTCCATTCTTTGGCCTCTTAGAACTTGTTTGCATCCCACAAGTGCTGCTGTATTTCTGTTGCAATGTGGACACACAATTCCCAGAAGAGGAACTCTGTCTCATCCCACTGGAACCAGTCACCGAAGTCTCAGAACTGGCTTCATTAGGTTTGGGGATTAAATCCTTTTGAAGTAATATTTTTGTAAAACTGTGACAGTTTTCCAAACGTTATCTGTTCTTCTGAGGGCTAACTCCAATTCTTGGTTAAATGTAACTTAAAAAGTCTCTCTTCCAAGGCCAGGGAATTCCCTGCTGCCTGTGTGCTGTGGCAGCAGGAAAATGGGGTCCTTCTGTGGCAAGAATTGAAGCAGCAACTGAATTTCTGTCATGCCCTGCAGGAAACACCCAAGGGAGCACATCCACCCTACCCCAGTGGAGTCCTTCCCAATAAGGGTTTGTCAAGTGATCTGAAAGAACAAACCAAACCAGAAGAGCAGTAACAACAGTGGGGACTTCCCCTGTAGTTCTGCCAAGGCCAGACATACAGCTGGTTAAGTGTTTAATTGGCAGCAGACTCAGAGCAGAGGTCGTGTCTTCAGGTACTCTGGGGGAAAAATGGCTGGGAGATGTGGAACAATGGAGAGCACAGGCTGGGAGGGAAAGAGCTTGAAGAAGTTTCTTTACAATGAAAGGAAAGCCTCCAGTGCTCGTCACGACAATGGTGTGGCCCAGTCAGTGTTTCAGCTCTGCTCACCTTGGATCACAACACAATATGTCATTTTGGCTATTTGTACTCAAGTGGAGGAGTTAATCATCCCTTTCCAACTTCTCTTGCTTGGCATTTGTTGGAGAGGGGGGAATGAGTGAAGCCTGCCTCTCCTCCTGTTCCTTCTGGCTAGTGTTTGCCAATCCTCTTCTTCCAACAGCATTCCCTGGCTCTTCACAAAAGACTTTGCAGCATGTCAAGGAGCTGTTCCAGACTCTGTGGGGATTAATGCCAACCCTTCTCTTTCCCCAGGAGAATGGCAGGGGCTGTCCCTAACTGCTCATTTATTTTTCACTCTTGGTTTCTCCTGGCAGACCACTGAATCCAGAGTGAACTTTGTGATCCTGAGGCAGCCCGGGGTGCAGCTGCCAGAGCCAGCAGAGGATGGCAGCTCCTCCAACAGCAGCAGCAGCAGCAGCAGCAGTGGGGGCAGCCCTGTCCACCACCGGAGGCGGCTGGACCAGAACCACTACAGACGGAAATCCACCTACCAGAAGGTCAGGCTGGCAAAGGAGGGCAGAAGGGCTGCTTGTTCCTGGCCCAGCAGAGGGGCTGTGTTTGCTCTGCAGTGCTGACTTATCCTGTAAGGCTGAGCAGCAGCTCCATTGCTACTTGACCTGTTGAAAAGCAGCAGGTTTGTGGCTTTTGGTATTGGAGAACCAGTTTGTCATCTGCTGGGAAACATCATTTTAAGGGAAAAGGTGTCAAAATTTCTTCAGCATCTCTCATGTGGATGCAGAACTGGTGTTTAATCCTTTCTTGTCTGGAAAGGGCAATGAGGAATTCACCATTCATGTGTTGCTTGAGACTTGCTTCTCCACACCTTCCAAGCCCCACATGTTCGGGGTGTTGCACTGACCCAGGTGATGCTGGTGTGGGGCCAGAGGCCTTTATGGTGCAGGAGCAGAATCCCAGAGGACACTGGTGCTCTGAGGCTGCAGTGTGTTTGTGCAACACAGAAGGCACCATGAGCCAGAGGAGAATCACCAGCCTAGTGTACCAGGAGAGAGTTACTCTGTGTTTAGAACTTCCAGTTGGGTGAGAAAACTTGCTGCATGTGCTTAGGCTTGTGTGTTTGAGTGTCCCTGAGTCCCGTAGGTAGCTGTCATACAGGGAGTGTGGTTCCTTGATTTAATCCTGCAGGAACATTTCCATACTGTTTGTACAGCCTGTGCTCTAATGTGTGCTCTCACTGCAACCTCAACACTTAGTCAGAGCTTGATTGCTTGATAGGAATGGCCTTGAAATGAGTTCAAAGCTTTTCCTCAGTGTAAAATTATCTTCCTCAGTGAGCATCTCCACAGCAAAATGGATGTGGGAACACCAGGACAGCACTGCCCTGGTCCTGCTGGCTCACCAGGGAAACACTACTCTGCATTTCCACCCAGAGCAAAGACATGGGGAGCTGACTTTGCCACCCAGCAACACTGCTGGAATGTTCTGGATAACAGATAAATGTTCTGTGGTTATCTCCCAGGTCTGGGTTCTTGTGTTGATTACATTACTGAAGCTGCATTTTGTGCTGTCATTCCTTTGTAGGATTTACCTCAGGGATATGCAAGTCATGAAAAGACAGTTGCAATCAAAAAGGAACCGAAGGAATCTTTAGGAATAACAATTGGAGGTGGAAGAGATAACAAAAACAAGCTCCCTATTTATGTAACGAGTGTGCAGCCCATCGGGTGCCTCTTCAGGGATGGCAGAATCAAGAGAGGTAAGGAGGCTCTGGGACCCTTTATCCTTTTGGAAATGGGGTTTTTTTTCAGTGAAAGTTGGACTTGGACACCAAAGTGAGGCTGGAAACAGGATTCCACGTGACACCTTGAGGCAGAAACGGGCTTCGAAGCAGAAGGTCTATAATAGTCCCTTTTTATTTCATCAACAGGAGATGTACTTTTGAGCATCAATGGCATTGATTTGACTCATCTGAACTATTATGAAGCTGTGGCAGCACTGAAATCTAATGCTGCTTCCCACTCAGTCACACTGAAAGCCTTGGAAATCCTTTCCCTCAACTCGCCAGAGGCACCCCTGGACGTCAGGGAGCAGGGATTCAGCTGGTCCCCCCTCTGGATCACATGGCTGGGACTGCCCAGGTATGTGTGTTCAGCGGCTGTGCAGAGCAGGTAATCACAGGCCTGACTTTCACTCAAACACTGGGAATTAATTGCTTTGTTGACTACCTTGGAAGCATTGCTGGCATTCCCATTTAGCTGTGAGGCGGTGGGAAGCCTTGCTTGCCAATGAGATCACAGTGTAATGAATGCATAAGAAACTTCCACAGCTTTTATGGTGTGACCCATCATTGCCCCACTCCTGTGGGACAGTAACCGTGTGGTAGAAGCTCCTGAAGCCCCTGTTTTCAAAGAGAAATAGTCAATGTTTGATCCGGCCCCTGTTCTGGTATTAACTGAATTCCCCTTCTAGATCTCCTCACACAAGCCAGACCCTGGAACTGTTTGGTAGTTTCTAATCTGCTCATCTCACTTAGGGGCAGACATTCTTTCAGTCTGTTCTTCTTGGCTGTTGTAATTGTGTTATCTTTAGCATGAAGCAGAAATGATTCTGAATAGCTGAGTTTTCCTGCTGCAAGGCTTTGGAGCACAGATTGAGCACAGCTTTTAGCAGCATCACGGGACGTTCCAGGTGACAGCACTAAGACTTCCTGGAAAGGCGAAAGTCTGGTTTGCTCACTTGTGCAGTTGCACCAAAATCAACTGAGCTGCGAAAGGCAGAGCCTGTTGTCATCCCAGTGACTAGAGGAGGATTGTGCAGGAGATGCACGTGGAAGAGTAAAGCCAAACCCTTCTGTGGGAAGCCTGGATTATTTACAGCCTTGTTTCTTGAGGCACCTGAAAGAAGAAACACTTGACAAAGGCTCTGTTGTGTTACCCCTGAGTTACTTAGCAGCCTGTAAATGCTGAACAAACCAGCCCAAGGAAGGGCTTTTGTGTCTGGAGTGACTGTAACTTGGCCTGTGCTCAGCACTCTCCTTCCATTCCCTCTGCTCTCCCAGGAATCCCTGTCTGTGCTGGGCAGGTCTAGTGGGAAGCAGCCCTGAGCTGAGCCCAAACTAGAGCACAAACCCTCAGATGCCTTTGTGTGTTCCTCAGGGGTGCTCCTGCAGCACTAGAGCAAGACAGAACCTGGCTGTACTTCTTCCTTTCTTCCTTTTTCCCAGTTTCTTTGGATGTGGGTGACCTGCAGCTTCACCACACCCTGTTCTGCTCCAGGGACTGGAATCCCTCTCTGCTCGTGGATCACCTGCCCTCATTTCAGGAGTCTCCTGGCATTCCCTGCCATTTAATACATTGTTTGATATTCTTTGCTGCTGGTGTTAATGTTGCCCCCCTTCCTTTGACTGTGACTGGACCTGGAGCAGGATTTCAGGTGCCCTTTCTGCTCTTCTCTTCCTTTTGCTCCAGCCCAAATTCCAGCCCCTGTCCTTGTGTACAGTTCTGGTCGTGAGGGTTTTCAGAAGGCACCTGGTGAGGTCATTTCATTTCAAGAACTCACCAAATCTTCTTCCTTGTTTCCAACAATAAAAATTCCTGTGCTTCCTCACTCCTTTTCCCATGTGCTCGCAGTCAGACCTGGTAGGAACTGGCTGGTGACCCACAGACACCGCTGTTGGTCCCCTGGCAATGCTACCTGGGGTTTCAGGGAGGTGCAGCTGAAATGAGGATCCCTCCAGTGTCCCCCTGCAGTGTTTGGGGTCACCCCCCCCCCGAGCTGGGTTTCCTTGGGACAGGACTGACCCTGCAGTGCTGCAGAGGAGCCCATTGCACAGACCCCACGTGTGCCACCCTGACCCTGCACTGCAGGAATCCCCTGCAGTGTGCCCAAACTGCCCCTGTGTCCTCAGCAGTGGCACCTGTTCCTTTGGGCTGCCCTGCTGAAGGGCCTCAGTGTGCCAGAACCTTCTGCAGTGCAGTGGGAGAGTTTAATGCTTATTGCATGTGCAATTTTGGGTTTGTTCAGCTTTTATTTTTTAAGTTATTCCTCTGATCCAGCAGAAATATCCCTTTGTTTCTAGAGGAATGTATTTCTTTCTAGTTTGAACCCAAACTAGGGAAGTATATCTGGTTGTTGCAGCACTTGAGCCCACAGTGCTTAACTCAGGCTTTGATTCTTGATCTGTGGTCCCTGTTTCTGTCAAAAGCTGCCACCTGGGCACTCCTGGGGATGTGCTGTGACAGTGGAGCCCCTGCAGCCTGGCCTGGGTTCTGTGCCAGGCACTGCTGTGGGTTTTAGGAGAGAGAGAGAAAGAGAGAGAGAGAGAGAGGACAGCCCTGGTCCTGTGCCCTCTTTGGGACCCTGGGGAGCAACTCCTTGGCTGTGCTGACCCAAGGGCTGGCATTTCTTGTCTTGTAATGCAAACCTGCTGTCCTCATAAACTCACTGCCCTCCATTCTTTGCGTTAACTGGTAGCAGAGAGGGTTCCAGTGGTTTACTACCATTTATTGCTGCTGCTTGTTCGTCACAGATAGAGCAAGAAACTTTGATTTCTTGACGGTATTATGTTAAATCAATACCAGCCATAGGCAGTACAAAATACCATCTCAAATGCTGGTTTGGAGGGGGTCTGTGTCCTAAACACTGCACCCTAAAGGTACCAGAAATACCAAGGTCACAGACTGATGTATCTTTTCTCTGTAAAACCTTTGCTTCTTGAAAACAGTAACTGTGCACAGTATGGCTTATGGGTAACTCCTGGGGGTGGAAAAGCAGTTTTCCTCCTGCCTTCTTCCCTGGTTTGTCCAAGACAGGGACACGAAGTTCGAGCTCTTCCCACACCACCGTGGTGCTCCTGCCTGGGCCCTGCTGGAGCTGCACACTCCAAACTCCCAAAGGGCTGAGGAAGTGCCAGCTCAGCATCGGGCTTGGCACTGTAAAACCGGCACCTCCACCTTCCCTAAAGTCCTCAATTCTTTTCCCACAGTCATTTTACATAATACTAAATTAATGTTTCCCTTCCTGAAACCTCTTCTTTTGTACTGAAAACTGATTTCTAGCAAACTGCCTTTATGTCTGATGCTTTGATTTCCATTCTGTGCACTTGCCCCTCTTGCTCTCAGGGCTGTTTATTTGCCCCAGATGTGTCTCAGAGCTGTTTTTGCACTTGTGTGGTACCTGTGGAAGGAATCCACGGAGGAATCAGTAAGCTGGAGCTGGATTATGTGTGTTTATGTGTGAAAAACTCCTACCAAAGTAAACAGTTTGAAGTAGATAATTGGATCTTTCTCCTGGTGAGAAGTGAACTGAGAAGGCTTTTGAAATCTGAAACTCCTCTGCAAACGGCTCCAGCGAAGCCCTCGAGGCAAAAATGTTTATTAGGAAAAGCTTAGCTGCTGGAACAGCTCAGGGGTGAGGAGCAGCAGTTTCACACCGAGCCCTGAGTGGCAGCCAGGGCATGCGGGAGGCTCCTGCCACCCCTCCCTGCCTGGCCAAGGCTTTGTGTCGCTGTGCCACCCTGGGCAGCAAGTGCTGCTGAGCACTTCACATCGCATTCCCAGGCTCCCTGAGGAGACAAACCTCCGTGGCCAGCAGCCAAAAACGGGCCTGGCAGCTCTCAGCTTAGAGCCACCCTGCATCCTCAGGACAGGCCACGCTCCGAGCTGGCAGGCAGAGGAAAGGCAGCTCTGCCTCCCGTGTTTGCCCTCTCCCAGGGCTGGACAGCTGCTCAGTGCCTGCCCTGTGCCTGCCTGCACTCTGCCTGCCCTTACAGCTGGGACAGCAAGCCCTGCTCTCAGGAATTGTGTGGCTGTAGCTGCTGCTCACCGTTAGCATGAGTTTGTCACTGGGCATGTGTTCCTTGGGAGAATTCCTGAAGGTATTCCTGAGTCTTTCAGGTCACAGACCCCTCCAGAGAATGGGAATTTCCTGTTAACTCTTTAACTCTGACAACACTGAGAAAAGAGTCCAAAGGTCTGGCATGGTCAGATTTTAGAATTAGCCCTGCAAAGGGGTGTCTCAAATCCTGGAAAAAAATGAGGCTGTGACATAGCTGGATCCATGTGCTTTCCCTGAGGGGAATCAGAAGCTTCTAGTCAGGCAGTTTTCCTTCAAAGGCTCTCACCAGCTCTCTCTGTTTCTGCCACAGCTACCTGCACTTCTGCCAGGATATTGTCCTGAGTAAAGGGAACCTGGAGAGCTGGGGCTTCAGCATCGTTGGGGGCTTTGAGGAGAGCAAAGGAAACCAGCCCTTCTTCATCAAAACCATCGTGCCCGGCACTCCTGCCTTCCGGGACAGGAAGCTCAAGTAGGTGTGAACTACCCGGGTGGCTGGGGGGCATCACAAACAGTCCCGGGGTTTTCCCTTTGCCCCTTGAGACCAGCCCAGCTAAAAGTTAACGACTGTAATTCCTACACACTCAACTGCACAGTTAATGCTGATGCCAAACGTAACAAACCAAGTCCTGTATTAAGGAGTGTTTTGGTTTCTCCATAAAGGTGCAATGAAAAGGAATTAACAGTTAGGTTTTAAAGGGCTGTAAAGGTCTTAATTGAGTAATTAGGGAAAAGTAGAAAGGGGATGTTTGAGATGAATCTTGGAGGTTCTAGAATATAATATCTCTTGGGTAAGCAGAAGTATCCCAACAGAAGCAATAAAAGGAAACTTAAGTGGAGCTTTGCCCAGCTGAGAAATCCCCGAGGGGAGGAGTGGAGCTGGAGGAGCCCCAGTGCTATCCCTGGGAAGCAGGAACTGGCTCCCCATAGGCTGCAAGTGCAGGACTGTGAAGGACAGAGGCTGGTCTTTGCAGGGGCTGTGGTTTGGGTGGAGGGAGCCAGGCTTTGCTCTCCTCAGAGCTGGGAGAGGCCAGAGCTGTGGTGGGAGGACTGGGCTCAGTGGGAGTGGGAGGACAGGACAGGGATGTGTCTCCCCATCAGAGCCAGGGTGAGGTTCCAGCACCTCCCAGCCCTCTAGAGGTGCTGCTGTGCCAGAGGGGCAGATCCCACAGGACCCTCAGCCCCTGCTGTCCTGAGCTGCAGGGTGACAGTACAGCTCCAGCCTGCAGAGCACCTCCCCTGGGGGACTGTGCCTGACCTGCAGCAGTGACCTGGGTCAGGAGTGTGGGACAGCACAAACCTGCCCTTGCAGCTTCTCCCTCTGCTGTCCCTGCCCTGGTTGTGCTCCTGGGGCCATTCCCTCTGCCACCAGCAGTGTCCTCCCTTTCTCTTCCCTCGGACTCACAAGGGAACAAGCTGCTCCCAGGAGGAGTTGGTGACGTTGGCTCAGGGTGGGTGATCTGACCCTGGGGGCTGCAATTCCGGGTTCCCTCAGCCTGCCCAGTGTGTCCTGTGCTCCCAGGTGTGGAGACGAGATCGTGGCCGTGAACGGAGTCCCGGCCATCGGAATGAGCAACGCGGAGCTGATCCCGATGCTGAAGGAGCAGCGCAACAAAGTCACCCTGACGGTGGTGTCCTGGCCAGGGAGCCTCGTGTGACAGCTCACACCATCCAGCACTGCCTGCGGGATCAGGGACCAGCTGCCACCACGGGGGACACATGGACCCAGGGCCTGCTCCACTCCTGCTCCCGGGGCAGTGCCAGGGAGGACACTTTGCTTCCTTCCTGTGGAAAACATTTTCCTGTGCCAAGGTTGTCACCAAATCTGGCAGTTGAACTCCGAGGAACAGTTAATCCAACAGTTGTGGCTTCCCAGGCTCATTAAAACTCCTTAGGTTGCTGTTGCAGAGGAAGCTCTTCCCAGCGTTTCTCACAACCTGCCTTGGAGGCTGGTCAGGCACTTCCCTTGATTTTAGGGCTCAGCTTTCCTTTTCCTATTTTGATCAGGTTAAACCAGTGGCTCTTAGGAGCTGCTAATAAATCATTCTGTAGGGACAGGGACCCACTCTTGATATTTTCAGGTTTCAGTAACCCAGGGAATGTGTTAATACATTGAAAAAACCAATGGTAACTCAGAGCTGGCACCTGAAGAGCTGCTGGGGCAGGATGGTGGGGCTGTGTTGACCCGTACGAAGGTCCTGTCATAAATCCTGGTTTAGGATCCTGCCAACTCCACTGATTTATTGCAAATGGACAATTTAAACTGCTTAAAGAACCCCTTTCAAAGGGAGCAGCAGAAGTGGTTTCACTGACATGTGATGTTGCAGAGTGTGACTTTAGCAGAGGGCGATGGCAAGGCTCACAGAGAAGCTTCCCTGGTTTTATGACTTGATAAAGCAGCTTTTCCCACAGAAGGCAGGTGATTCAGTAAACAGGCTGTAACCAGCACCCTGTGTCCCACATGCTGTCTGTGATTCTCTCAGCTGCCTGGCTTTCCCTTATCAATCCCAGTGCCCAAGGCGGGGTTGGGGCAGGGGGAGGAGCCCCTGCATGGTCAGGCAGAGCAGATCTGCAGTTCTGTTCACATCCCGCTCACAGCTGGAGCCAAATACCAACTCACTGGACCAGGGAGGCTCCAAGGGCCATTGCTTCTTGGCCACTTTGTACCCAGGGCAGCAGGAAGTCCCTCCAGGACAGTGCCCGGCCTGGCTTCAGTTCACACCCTCTGCACAGGGGAAATGTACCTGCAGAGCTGGAGCTGGGCCAGGGGGGTTGTCCTGACAGCCTGCCACGTTCCTCCTTTCAAGCTCCACCTGAAGCAACTCATCCTCTTCCAGCAGGTCCTTAGTGAGCAGGAGCAGTGACAGGTCCTTCTCAAACCGGGCTGCACTGAGAGGTCTCCCCTCTCCTGCTGCCTCTGCTGCACCTTTTACAGGACCAGCTTTGTACGAATCAAGAGTCCCCTCTGGCGAAATGCTGAACTCCCTGCAGTGCCCCTGCAGGTGGAGCCCGTTCCTGGCTGAGCGAGGCTGCCCCTGGGGCTGCTGCAGAGCTGGCCCTGGCCCCTGCACACACAGGACCCCCACTGCCCGCGCTGGAGCTCCAGGCAGGCACAGCAGGGCTGTTCCCAGAGCCAGCACACAGCAACAGTTCGGGATCCAGCCCCACAACAGCCTCCCTCTGGCTGACAAACACCCCTGGGACTCTGACAGCACAGTCGTGGTTCCCTGAGAATGCTGAGAGCAAAATCATTCACACAGGAAAACTCCTCCTCGACCTTTGCTCGGACACAAAGGAACACGAAAACCTGAAGCAATGTTTTGTCTCTTTCCAATCAATGTTCAGAACCTGTGCCTGGGGTGGAACAGTAAATATTGGTGTACAGAGAGGGCCATTCCTCCTGCCTGCACCACGTGCCAGTGGCTGATGGGCAGGAGGAAGAGCTGCTGGGCAATGGGAGGGAGCAGGAGCTGCAGAAGGATTTTACTGTTACTCCACCTCCTTCCAAGGTGCCTTCAACTTCACCAAAATGTCCTCATAATTTAAATGTTGTTTCAAAAATCAGCTTGTTAATAGATGTTGAATTTGTTTTGATGCCTTTATAAATTATTGTAATATTGCTGAAAAATATGTGTCATAGGTGTGGTTTTCACTTTTCTTTCCAGTGTATCAGTTAATGCCCCCTGAATAGGTGACCTCAACAAGACACTGCTCCAGGAAGCTGGCTCTGGGCGGCAGGAAACAGCCCCCAGGAAAGGAGCTGGACTATCCTGAAATACGCTGGGGCTGGGAAAACAACCCTGACCAACAGTAGCCCCACATCCAACAACAGCAAACCTGCAGCAGCTTCCTGGTGCAAGCAAAGATCGTTTCCCTGGTATTAAGGGCAAGCATTTGATCTCTATTTATTTAATTAAAAGAGAACAATTTAAAACCTTAACTTCCTAGCTGCCCCTGGCACCATCACCCTGCTCCCAGGAGTGCAGGACCCAGGTCCAGCTCCTTCAGTAGCTCGGGAGGAAGCTCCCCCTGCCCCATCCCTGCAGGATTCCCCATCTCCCTGGTGCAGAGGGAAGCAGAGGGATGTGACCACCAGGAATTCAGTCTGTTTACAGCAGGCTTCTGTCACCTCCACAGGCTGTGGAACAGCTCTGCCCACCCCTGGAGAGGCCCCAGGACACCTGAGCCTGCAGCCATGGCAAACATGGCCCTGGCCGGGGCCACACCCCACTGCCCTTGGCAGGACACGCTGTGCCAGCCCCTCTCTGACCCAGGGTGGGCTGGGGCCACTGCCTGACCCCCTCTGGCACTGCTGCCCTGCAAGTTCAGAGTTCAGTGCTGGAAAAAAACAACCCCATTTCACAATTCCCAAATCTGGGCTCTCTGTGGAGCCCAGGGCAGGGCTGCTGGGCCCTCTCCCCTTGGCACTGCCCTGCCCAGGGGAGCCTGTGCTCTGGGAGCCGAGGGAGGGCACAGACCAGGCGTTCCTGAGTCCTCACCAGGCTAGGTGTGGTTTCTCCCTGCCCAGGCCCCACCAGTGCCATGATCCTGCTGACAAGGTGGTGACGGCTCAGAGGCTTTTTCCAACCCCAGTGAATCCGGGCTCCTGTAACTGCATAGAAGCCAGTTCCCCCCAAGCTCCTGAACGCTCCTGGGCACTCTCAGCTGAACTCCAGGAGCATTGCACTTGGTCCCCCCCAGTGCCAGGAGATGAGATTCCCTGGCTGGGGTTACCCCTGCCCATCCTCTGCTGCCCCTCAGAGACATCACGTTCCCAAACCCTGGGGTCTGCTGTGGCTGCAGAGGGAGGAACAGCTCCAGCCCCATTCCAGGCCCTGCCCCTCATCCTGGGTAAGGGCACACACATTTCCCGTGACCTCAAAGCACATGAAAAACCGCCATAAAAACCAAAACCCAAGACAGCCCCCAGTTCTTCCCCCTCTCCCCCAGGCTCTGCAGTTAAGGACTCATCCCAGTGTCACCCATTCCCAGAGGGCTCTCCTGGCTCAGGTCTCAGCCCTGACACTTGCACACTCAGACTTGCAAGGTTACAATACCAAAATATACAGAACATTTCAGAACCATATTATTTTAGGACAAATATTTAAGACAGTTTTAAATAACAAGTCAAAGAAAAATGAGACACTTGTGGACTCACACAAACTGAAGGGTGGGATCCTAAGGACCAAAACCCTTAAAATTATCTCCCCTGTTCTCCCCACCCAGAAACATCTCTGTTGCCCCTCTCCCCAACCAATACTAAGTCCAAAGAAACTTTGGAATTCGACTAAATTTATTTTGGGATCTAGGGGAAGGAATTCATCGGACAGGAGTGTTGGTGATAACCAAATAGAAATGCCAACCCCACGAGGGCAAAATGCTGGGACTTGGTGCTCTCTACTGCCCTGGGTTATTCAGCTCAACTCAGAAAAGAAAAAGGAAACAAAACAGGCAAGTCAAAAGTAATTAAAGAGAAACTCTTACTACAGGTCTTCATCGATTCCCACTCAGAGGTGTAACATGACAGAGCTACCTTTGCAATGGGTAACAAAGTGAGTTTTGGGGTCTCTGCCCGCGCTGGGTGAGTGTCAGGCAGAGCAGACCCTGTGCCCAGTAGGCAGAGCAGACCCTGCAGCTCCTCAGTCATGGAGAAACCAGAGGCTCTTTCCGTAGCTATAAAGGAATTTATTTGGGATGAGACTTCACTACCACGCCAGACTCTAAGCTGGCTCTCGGGGTCTAAGTCACACTGTTCTTTGGACAATAAATTTCAAGTTGCACTTACTGTCCTATTGAAAAAGGAATGATGATGACAAAAAAGAACCAAAAGCTATTACCTAATTGTGTTAGTTTCAGCTGAAGCCATCTTCCATCAGAAACCATAGGATCTGATACACCAAAGTCCTCCCTAGGGATGTGTATGAGTAGAGTAGCTCAGTGCTTTGTAACTAGTACTGCTGTATTGTCTTGTATCAAAAACAAAAAACAACAAAAAAGGAAGTTTAAGGGCACGTGCAGCCTCAGCTCCCCGAGCCCTGTGCCGTGTCAGGGCTCCCAGTCGGCCTCTTCCCTTAGAAAAAGTAAAAAATAATAAAAAAAAATCACCCCCCACCCCAAACATCAGCAGTGCCAGGCTGGGGGTCCAGGAGTGGCTCCTCCCAAGGGCTGAGGGGGCCTGCTCACTCCTTGGTGTCCTGCTCCTCTCCCTCCTGGGCCCCGTCCTCGCTGGCCTCCTTCTCCTCTTTGCTCCGCTTGTTCTTTTTGTGCTTGTGGCGCCGGTGACTCTCCCCCTCCTCGCTCTCGTGCTGCTTCCTGTGGGGAACAGAGGGGACAAGTGACACCTGTGCCTGTGCCAGCACAGCTCTGCCACACGAGGGACCTGCACGGACAGGGATACACCAGCAGGGCCTCCCCGGCTTTGTTTGGGATGAGCTGATCCCGCAGGTTGTGCCAACGCCACACGTGGCAGCAGCACAGCCCGGCAGGCACTGCCACTGCGGCTCTGTGGAACATCCACGTCCCTCCACTCCACGGGAGCTCCAGCAATGCTGGCACAGCACGGAGCTGCTGCGAGGAGGGAGAGCCCTAAGTCCAGAGGGGTTTGGAACCTTCACTCCTCTGAACACCTGGGGGAAATCCTGGGACTTGAGGCAAGAAAGGGGTCAATGGAGTGAGGGAAATGTGGATTTCCCAATGGGAGGCAGATCCTCTTTCTGCTTCTGCTTACTCACACGACCTGGCTCTTCACAGGTTCCACGCTCCACAACTCCTCTATCTCCTCACCCGTTTTCCCGATGCAGGTGGAAAGCTGGGATTGTTGGCACAGGATCTCTGTGATGTGGGAGGAATCCCAGGCAGCAGGGCCTCGGACTGGGCCCTGGGCACAGTTCTGCCTCCCATCAGGGGAAGTGGGAAGGTGGGAGCTCTGCTCTGGTCCCTCCTGGGAGGAGATTTTCTGCTGCTTCTCTAACACACAATTATTTCTCCTCACAGGCTGCAAACCAGGCGAGCTCTTGAGAGCTGAGCATGGGGTGAAGGTGGCAGAGGTAAAACACAGCCAGAGCACAGGAAAATGCAGATGAACATCCCAGCACAGGCACAGCTCCACGAGTGGGGACAGTGTCAGGTTAGAGACAAATCCTGACATGGCTGGAACACTGGTTTGGCAGCACAGACACCAAACTGGCTGAACCTGGCTGAAAAGCTCCTGGCCTCGAGTAACTTTCTGACTAGTTTAATGAATGGTTTCATAGTCATTAAAGGGGAAAAAATCAACACCTTCAGCCACCCGGTGGACAATGTGTCAGTGGGTTGTGCTGGGACAATGGGACTGGCCTTTAATACTGGAACCAGCATCGGTGATTTCCTGCAGACTGGGCACTTTGCAGGGAGCTGGAAACTCCAACCAAAGCCTTTCATGTGCCTGCAGACGCCTCACCAGGCTCAGAGCTCTGTGTGCCTCAAGCAGGGACTCTGACATGCACCCCAAGTGGCCTTAAACACAGTATTGCCCCCGTTTCTTTAGCTCACAAACACTGTTCATCTCACTGCTTTGAGTCAGAG